CAGTAAATGCTGGAGAGGGTATGGAGAAAAAAATAACCCTCCTCCCTGTTGGTGGGAATGAAAGTCAGTAAATCACAAAGGAGAACAGGACAAAGGTTCATTAAAAACTAAACAGAGAAGCACCATAGGACCAGCAATCCCATTACTGGGCATAGATGCATAGAAAACCATAATTTTAAAGACAGGTGCTCCCCAACGTTCATGGCAGCACTATGTACAATATCCAAGACATGGAAGCAACCGAAGTGGGTAAGGACAGATGAATGGGTAAACAAGATGGGGTACATGCACACAGTGCATTATTACTCAGTCATAAAAGGATGACATCATACCACATCCAGCAATAAGGAAGTGGAGACATCACAGTAAGTGGAGTGAGACAAAGAAAGACAAGTATCACATGATATCACTTAGTGGTGAAGTCTAACAATGGATACAAATGAACTTCTTTACCAAACAGAAATAGCCCCACGCATAGCAAAGTACCATAGCAAAGCACCACATGGTTACCAAAAGGGAAAGGTGGTGGGCGATGAGAAATGAGCAGGTGGAGATGAACATATACACACTACTCTTTATAAATAAACAACGAGGACCCCTAATCAACACTGCATAATAAACTAAATGGGAAAAGAAACCAAAAAAGCACATGTACGCGTCTATGCATAAGTGGATCATGTTGCTGTCCACCTAAAACAAAAACAAACACACCCTACAACACTGTAAATCACCTATATACCAATACAAAATACAAATTACAAAGAGTGAATGTCAACTGTATTCCCCTCAGGTCTTGGTGACCTGGGCTGCAGTCACATCCCTGAAGCCTGGGCAGGCTTGTTTCCCAAGGATGGACTGTCATGGGGCTGACGGAGCTGGGGAGGGTGTGCCAGCCAGTGATCCCTGCCCCATGGACCTGTGAGCCTGTCCCCCTCTGCTGCAACCCACAACCTCCAGATCCAGGTGGATCTTCCTGCAGTGAAACTACGCCTACTGCACCCAGAGGATGTGCAGCCTCTGGGCTGGAAGAGCTTTGAAAAGCCCCATGGGCTCCATGTCTCCTGGTGTTGGGGTTCCCACCTTCAGCTTCCTTCCTTAGGGTTGCCCCACCTATGGATGAAAGCACCCTTTCTAGAGTGGTGTTGCAGGAATTGGGATTTGTCCAGGGGACAGGGGTGAAGAAGGAATGGGACACAAGCCTTAAGTGCTTCTTCTGGCACTTTCCACTCTGACAATCCAGGAACAGGACTTTACCCAAGGCTCTGGTTCCTTCGGGAGAAGGCGATGGCACCCCACTCCAGTCCTCTTGCCTGGAAAATCCCATGGATGGAGGAGCCTGGTGGGCTGCAGTCCATGGGGTTGCTAAGAGTCGGACAAGACTGAGCGACTTCACTTTCACTTTTCACTTTCATACATTGGAGAAGGAAATGGCAACCCACTCTAGTGTTCTTGCCTGGAGAATCCCAGGGAAGGGGAAGCCTGGTGGGCTGCCGTCTATAGGGTCGCAGAGTTGGACACGACTGAAAGAACGCAGCAGCAGCAGCAGCTGGTTCCCTCAGTAACCAGAGTTGGGCATGAAGACATGCTGCCACCTTGTGGCCGTTTCCCATAACAACAACTTTTAGATCAATGCTCCTGGGCACTTAACATTCTCAAGCCCTGAGGGGCTTAAGGAAAAAAACACCTGCCCTTAAGAAATCTCCTAGGGGAGGTCATCGGAAAAATATTGAAACAGGGAAGTCATTCAAGAAGCCAATAAGTAAGTTTAACTCACACTGTTTTAAAAAAAATTCATATGCAAAGATGTCAACATCACAAAATATGAGAGAAATGCAGATCAAAACTTCAACAAGGTATCCCCTTACACCAGTCACAATGGCCATAGGCAGAAACTCTACAAACAATAAATACTGGAGAGGGTATAGAGCAAAGGGAACCCTCCTACAATGATGTTGGGGATGGAAACTGGGAGCAGCCACTGTGGAGGACACCAGACAGATTCCTTAGCAATGAATATGAGGATGAAATTAGACTACTCTGTAACACCATACACAAAAATAAACTGCAAATAGATTAAATGTCTAGATGAAAAGAACAGATACAATGGAACTCTTGAGGAAGAAAAGCAGAACACACTTTGACATAAAATGCAGTGAGATCTTTTTTGATCCACCTCTAAGAATCAGGACAGAGAAAACAAAAATAAACAAATGGGACCTAATAGACATTAAAAGCATTTGCACAACAAAGGAACCATCAGTGGGGAAAAAAAGACAACCAAGAATGGAAAAAAATCGTGCAAACAAAGATAGCCACAGGGAATTTATCTCCACACATACAAATAACTTGTAAAACTCAGTATCAAAAAGCAATCCCATAAAAAAAATTGGTCAAAGGTCTAAATGCACTTTACTCCATAGAAGGCACAGAGATGGCCATAAAGTAGAGGAAAAGATTCTAAAATCACTCGTTCTTAGAGAAAGGGAAGTCAATTGTCCAATGAAATATCACATCAATCAGAATGAGCATCTCAAAAAATCTACAACAATAAATTCTGAAGAAAGTGTGGAGAGAAGAAAACCCTCCTACCATGGGTGGGAATGTAAATAGGTACATCCACTAGGGAGAACATTATGGAGGTTCTTTAAAAAACTAAACACAGAAGTACCAAGTGACCCAGCAATTCCATACCTAGGCACAGATCCAGAGAAAACCAAAATTGTAAAATAAACCTGCATCTCAACAATCACAGCAGCACTAGGTACAACAGCAAAGACAGGGAAGCAACTTAAGTGTACAATAACAGATGAATGGATACAGAAGATGTGATATATATATATATACACACAATGCAATATTACTCAGAAATAAATAGGGATGAGATAATGCCATTTCCAGTTACAGGGAAGAAACTAGACATGATCATACTAAGTGAAGTGAGACAGGGAAAGACAGGTATCATAGTATATCATTTCTGGTGAATTCTAAAAAAGGATACAAATGAACTTTTTACAAGAGAATCAGCCTCAGAGACTTAAAAAAGAAACTTATGATTACCAAAGAAGAAAGTTGAAGGGGGCAGAGAGCAATTAGCTGGTTTAGATTAAAATAATACCATAAAAAACGTGCTAAATAGCCCAAAGTCTGACAGGGCTGTAAATGACATCTGCCCTCAAGAAATGTCGCAGGGTAAATCATCGTAAAAGAATTCCTAACTGGGCCAACTTTCAAGAAAGCAGATTCAAGTGATAAATTGTACTCACAAGGTGTAAAATAACAAAAGCACATGGGAAGATACTCCACATCAGTAATTATTAAATCCATGTGAATCAAAACTACAATGAGGTATCACCTCACACTGGTCACAATGGCCATCATTGAAAAGCTCTACAAAGAATAAATACTGCAGAGAATGTACAGAAAAGGGAATCCTCCCACAATCTTGGTGGGAATGTAACTGGTGAAGCCACTATTGAAAACAGCATGGAGTTTCTTTGAACACTAAACATACAGGTATCATATGATCCTGCAACCCACTCCCAGGTTTAGATTTAGAGAAACTGATCATTAGAAATGACATGTGCACCCCAATTTTCAGGCTAGCACTATTTACAACAGCCAAGACATAGAATCCACCAAAATGTCCACTGACAGAAAAATGAAGACTATGTGGTATATCTTGGAGAAGGCAATGGCAATCCACTCCAGTACTCTTGCCTGGAAAATGCCATGGATGGAGGAGCCTGGTGGGCTGAAGTCCATGGGGTCGCTAAGAGTCGGACACGACTGAGACTTCACTTTCACTTTTCACTTTCATACATTGGAGAAGGAAATGGCAACCCACTCCAGTGTTCTTGCCTGGAGAATCCCAGGGATGGCAGAGCCTGGTGGGCTGCCGTCTATGGGGTCGCACAGAGTCAGACACAACTGAGGCGACTTAGCAGCAGCAGCAGCATGTGGTATATCTATACACTGGAATACTACTCAGTCATTAAAGAGAACGAAATAATGATACTGGCAGCCCCATGGAGGGACTGAGAAATTTTCATACCAAGTGAGGTAAGTCAGAGAGAAAAAGACAAATATCCTAAGGTACCACGTACAGGTGGAATCTATAAATTCATACCACTGAACTAATATACAAAGCAGAAACAGCCTGAGAAAACCAAATTCTGATTATTGTAAGAAAGTTGGAAGGGAGGGATAAATTAAGAGTTTGGGATGAAAATATACACACTAATATATATCAAGTTGATAATGAAAAAGGACCTACTGAATAGAACAGGGAACTCTCCTGAACAAACTGTAATAACCTGTATGAGAAAAAAAAAAAAAACAGAAAAAGAATAGATGTCTATATATAACTTAATCAAGTTCAGGTATACCTAAAACAAAACATCGGAAATCAACTCTACTCCAATATAAAATAACAATTCAATTACAAATTAAGTTACCTGAGCTCAGTCTAAGGGAAATCAGACAGCCGTGACCCTATGAATTAGCATGTGATATGCTATGATATTAATATGACACCACCAAAGGTTTTCACTCAGCAGAACACAGAGCAGCAACCCACCCAAAGGTGCCTGACCTCATGTGAATGTGACAAGGTGAAGAGAACAAAAAGGACCACAGTTTAAACAGGGCAACACCCTCAGTTCAGATGTTGGGAATCTCCAAGGGGACAGGACACATGGCAGGCAAATAGATACATTGTCTCTGTGTACACAGGATCCTGATTTAGGCAGATGGGGTGAGACCCACACAATCCCTAGACTCTGCACCTGGGGTCCCATGACCCTTGGTTAGGACACCAGGTCTCTGTTGGTTGGGCCCCTAAAGTGGAAACGGATGCTTTCCTGTAACCCCCTGGGATGATAGAAAGATTTGTAAGGTCAGTCTCCTCCCACCATACTGTCCCATAGAAGTCCTCTTCTCCCTTTGGTTCTGTGTGATATTAACTGTTTTTATGGCTGTCATGATAATGTTGAACACACTACCTTAGTTCTGGCAGGCTCGGTCCTTTCCACTGAGGTGTTGAGAAAACACGCCAGAGGGCTGGGAGACGAAGGCAGGTCTGGTCTCTGCTGAGGAGGGGCGGTCGACTGGAAGGAGACCACAGCAGCAACCTCACCTGCTGCCCATTGGCCATTTGTCTGATCCATGCCCTGCAATCAATTCACCAGGTGAACCTGCCTCCCTTCCCACAATGCTTGTCCTGGAAAATTGGAATAATTACCAGGTAGCCACCTGAGGAGTCTCCAGGAGCCCCAGGGAAGGTGAACCTCGCAGGGACCAAGAGGCAAGCAGGCACAGGCCTGTAGAAAATGAATACAGTAAAGCATTAATAACTAAACACAAGTGAAGTTCTCATGTATTCATCCCTTTTTCTTAGTTGTGTGTGTGTGTGGTCTCCCATGATCCTGGCCCGTGAAAATGGAGTGAGCCTCACACAGTTCCCAGACCACCCACCTGGGGTCACACATTCCCTTGGTCAGGACACTATGGCTGTGGTCAGCAGGCCCCCAATGGGTAAACAAACCAGGTCCCTGGGACCCTAGAAAGGAGTGTAGGGTCCATCTCTTCTCCCAGTTGTCCCTGAGAAGTCAGGCCCCCTCCTGTTTTCAATCTGGTTCTGTGTGATTTTTTGCTGGTTTGGAAGCTCATGCTAGAGGTGAACACACTACCTTGGTTCTGGTAGACTCTGTCTTTCTTGTCCTGCTGAGGTGCTGAGAAAACAGGAGAGCTGGGCTGAAAGACGAGGAGCAGCTCTGTTCTCTTTGGAGGAGACAGTCGACTGGAAGGAGATCACAGCAGCAACCTCACCTGCTATCCAATCTAATCCCTTGGATCTATTTGTCACTTCCATTGTATAATCATAGGGGATTTGATTTTGGTCATACCGGAATGGCCCAGTGGTTTTCCCTACATTCTTCAATTTAAGCCTGAATTTTGCAATAAGAAGTTCACGATCTGAGCCACAGTCAGCTCCCAGTCTTATTTTTGCTGTCTGGTCGAGTTTCTCCATCTTTAGCTACAAAGAATATAATCAATCTGATTTTGGGACTGACCATCTAGTGATGTCAATGTGTAGAGTCATCTCTTGTGTTGTTGGAAGAGGGTGTTTGTTACATACATATACATTATACTTATACTTACTTATAAATAAATAACATTATTTTTAAGATATTATTTTTTTAAAAGGAAGATGGCTGTTAAGGAAAGTGGTTCTCCCAGACACCTAATCTGCTTGCACCTTGACCTTGGACTTAACAGCCTCCAGACCCGACAGAAATAAATGCATGCTGTTTTAAGTCCCCTGGTTTATGATACTTTGGTTTAGCAGTCTGAAAGAACTAAGAACTAAGAACTCCTTCCACGAATGTTACCGCTTGGGCTAGAACCTAATTTTTCTGGCAGGAAGAGGACCATCACGTGGGGTAAGAGACTGTCATCAAGGTGCCAGATACACAGTGGAGAAACAGTATCTCCAGGACTGCTGCCTGCCTTGTGTTGGGTGCCTCTGAGAAATGGAAGAGATCCCCCTTCTGGGGGATGCAGTTTGGGCTTGGTCAGGGGAACCCAGGTTGGCTGGACATCAGTGCCTCATACCATCCTACCCCGACCCCAACACCTAAGCATGGGGCCATAGCACACGGTGACCACGAGCGACACAAGGTCTCAGGTCCACGTTGAAGGGCAGCTTCTCCCCAAAGCTTCCACAGCCTGGACCCTTCCCTCTGGAGCAACATTTCCTCTAATCCCTTGGACCTCTCATCACCAAGCAACCGCATCTCATGATAAACAGCCAGCGTTGTTTCCAGAGAGGCAGGGTGCGGCTTCTGCTGATTCTCCTTGGGAGAACCCATCTGGTGCTTGTGTCTTCATCTCACAGCCAGGGTGGGGTCTTAACAGCAGGCGACACAGTGTCCAAAATGAGCATGGTAGGAGGCCCACGTGGATGTGGGGTCCTGGCATCTTAGAGGAAGATGCTATTCAACCCTTTGTGCCCTCCCCATGGCAGAGCAGCCAGGCACACCTCAAAATAAAAGGCCAGCCAGGGTTACCTTTGACTTTCACAACCAACACAGATAGCCGGGACACACCTCTCATTAAGTAACTCCAGTGGGCGTTTTCGGCGCCGCCCACTGGAACTCCTACCAGCCATCACTGGGTGGGGAGAGGCGAGTGAAATGTGTGAACTGAAACATGCTAATGCTGCAGGGACCCCCCAAACCTGTCCTTCATGGAGCCCCGAGAGTAGAACACTATCTGGTAGCACAGGCTGGACACAAAACACCAGGAGCAGGGACCACTGTTGAGGGCAAAGACAACTTACCTGTGAGAAAAATACACTCATTTGAATAAATTTGTTCTAATAAGTGGCCTTCCCAGATGGTGCTAAAGGTAAAGAACCCACCTGCCAAAGCAAGAGACATAAGAAACGAGAGTTCAATCCTTAGGTGGGGAAGCTCCCCTGGAGGAGGGCATGGCAACCCACTCCAGTATTCTTGCTTAGAGAATCCCATGGACAAAGGAGCCTGGGCTACAGCCCATGGGGTCCATGGTGTTGCAAAGTTGGACACAACTGAGCTGACAGACACACACAGGAGGAAGAAGCAGCTGAAGTGGCCAGAAGCACCAGAGACCTGGCTCTGGTGGGGGTGGTCTGGGTCTGAGCCCTTCTGAGGAAGAAACCGGGGTGGGTGAGTCTTCAAGAGAGCATAGCCATTCACAGTCAGAGACCCAGAGGCTCCGGGAGTCAAGGCTGGGGACACGGGCCTCCCAGCTGGCACCAAGGGCTGCTTTGAAGGGAAGCATGAGACCCAAAATCTAACTGGGAGGGGCCAGGGGCAGAGCAGGGCTGCACCAGAGGTCAAAATGGGCAATGGAGGCAGAATCTGAGGCCATCTGCAAGTGGCTGATGGAGAGGAGGACTGACCAAGGAGGGTAAATAGGCAATGCCCCAAACAGCAACATCCCCCCAAGCTGACCCGGTGCCCCAGCACTGTCCTGAGCCATAGCCCCTCATCCAAAGTCTAGCTCAGGCTCTCTGATCAATCCAGCCCGGCTGCACCCAGCACAGAGCAAGTGGCCAGCAGAGGGGTAGACTCTGTGGTGTGTCAGCACCAAGGACAGCACATGGCCAGCTCAGTCACCATTCCCGAAGAGGACCATCTGTTTGCTGTTGGAACCAACCAGAGGAACCTGGCAAGCCCAAATCCAAGCATCTGTTCACTCCAGCAGTCTGGGCCTGGGCTTGGTCTCCGGTGGAGAGACCAGCTTTTCTCCTGTGAAGGCTGACAGTGGTCCTGGCAGGGTCTGGAGTCCACCCTCATCTCCTGGGGCATCCTCCTGTGCCATACCCCCTTCTCAGCCTTTCTAAACTGTCCGTGGCATGCTCTAATGCAGGGCTGGAAGCTATTCTTGGTTAGCTTCCTATCACCACATGCCCATGTCTTTCTTAGCAACTGATTAGCACTGACCATGATCTGAGTGCTTTGGGGTGCAAACCCCATGACTGCCTCCGCCACGCTGTTCCATCTCTGAATCTCATGCTCGGCAATGTGGTCTTCCTCCCTGAACAGAAGCTGTTGCTATATATTCTGCTATGGAGCCCTGCACCTCCTGGGGAATGTCATGTGAATAACCGATCCCCTGGGATGTGTCTCAAGTTCCTGGAACATGTAGGGGATGCTGACGGTGTTCAGGGATGGAAGATGCAAGGGGGCCGGTACCCTGCCCCAGTCCCCCACCCACCTCTCCGTTCCCTGAAATCTTCCCTGGACACACACCGCTGACACATCCGTGCCATTCAAGTCAAAGCAGTGCAATTCCACCTCCACACACAGCAGGCGCCCTCTTCCTTGGCACCTGTTCTTATAGACGCTGCCCACTCACCCCCTGGTGCTCCCATTCAGGAGCCTCTGCCCTGACCATCCACCTGAGATGCTCAGGGCCTTACTGATGTCCTGCCCCTCAGTCCCCTCGAGGCTCCCAGCCCCCTGATGGCCCAGCTCTGTCCCTCTCTCTTCACCATCCTCAAGCCAGGTCCTTCATTTCCACCTGTTCTCCCATCACAACCCTAGACCCCGCTGCACACTGAGGACACCCACGACCTCTGTGTTCAGCCCGCTTGATTGGTGGATTCCCCAAAGCTCCCCTCAAAGTCCCAGGCCTCCCTGCTTATCACCCACAAGGTAACCTGTCCCCAGGAAGCCTGCTTGAGACTTGTGGGCTGGGCGGGGCCTCCACTAAGTGCCCAGCCCCACCCAGATGGACAGGGAGTCTCTCCCTCTAGAACAAGTTTCTCCATGTAAGCTCAAGTCGCTTTCATCTCTGCACCCCAGGGCCTAGCATGTGACAAGGGCAACTTTCTTGGGCCACAGGGAGGGCTTGCAGATGCAGCCAGGCCAGGAGATCGGGAGTGGTGCTAGTGGGAGAGTGAGCTCTGAAGGAATGCAAGTTGCGTTCAGAAACTCTGGAGCCACCACCCTCATGGCGGGGGGCAGCGGCGGGGGGGGGGGGGGGGGCGGGGGGGGGTCCCACACCTGCTAATACAACAGCAGTTTCTTTACAGCCCAAAGCCCCCAGTGCACACAGAACTACCTTGAATCACAGGAACACCCCGAAAGTGAAGTCAACTTATGCTTAACAAACTTTAAAAAAACCAAAAGGCATCAAAGGGAGCTTCAAGAAATCTAACAGTAAGTCAATAGGACTTGCTACCCAAACACAAGCTTTCACGGTCTAAACTGCTCAAATTTATGAACTCTTCTGGGGAAAAGATAATATTCATGAAGGCTTTAAAAAATATGAAAGCACATATATGAAACAGAATATTACTCAGCCATAAAAAGTGATGAAATTGTGTCATTTATAGAGATGTGGATGGACTTACAGTCTGTCATACAAAGTGAAGTCAGAAATAGAAAAATAAATATTGTATATTAACACATATGTATGGAACCTAGAAAAATGGTATAGGTACAGATGAACCTATTTGCAGGGCAGGAATAGAGACACAGACGTAGAGAACAGCCATGTGGACACAGTGGAAAGGGGAAGGCGGGGCAAATTGAGAGAGTAGCATTGAGGTACATACAATACCCGAGAGAGTAGCACTGAGGTACATATGCTACCCTGTGTAAAACAGATAGCTAGTGGGAAGGCGCTCCTGTAGCACAGGGAGCTCAGCTCTGTGCTCTGTGATGACCTAGAGGGGTGGGATGGCGGGGTGGGAGGTTCAAGATTGAGGGGGATATATGTATATGTACAGCAGATTCACTTTGTTGTTCAGCAGAGACAACATTGTAAAGCAACTATACTCCAGTAAAAAAAAAAAAAAAAAGAAAGCAGTTCATTCTCATTTGTCCATAGAATTAGTCAAATAGAAGTTCCTTCACATGCATGTAATAATCCTATCTTCTTTTTATACACATGTAAGTTTTTTTTCTGAAAAGCAGCTTTTCAAAAATGTTTTATTACAATACACACTTTGCTATAATTAAGAGAAAATATGCTTAAATCTACTGGCCTCATTAGCATGCATTTCTTCTCCAAGACTGTCAAACTTGCAAATAATTATTTGCAAAATGGTTATTTACAGCAAACTGCCAATCACACCAAGGCCCTCAAGCTTTCAGAGGTGTCATCAGATTCAACCGCCCCTGTAAAATGCACTCAGTCTCGGCCTCTTGCTGCTGGGCTGCCCCAGTCACTGGCTGCAGCTGTCTGCACGTGTCAGCAGTACCTATCCCTGTGACTGACTGAGACCACCTGGGGAGGGACAAGTCTCAGGAACCACCCCTACCCGAGCAGATCCAGAGCAAGCAGGCAAAGGAACCAAGCTCTGCTGGGGGCTGGGTGTCTGCCGGGAGCCTTGGCTGCCAATCAGCCTCAACAAGATTGCCTCAGCATTTACTACAAGCATCCAACAGGTGAAGAGGAGTGGCCAGGAAGTCCACACATAACTGAACACGTGGAGAGCTGGCTGGAGTTCTGACCTGCGGGCTACACAGACACCTTTGCTCTCGACCCCTCCCTCCGCTTCCCCAGGGCCAGCCAGAATCTTACCTCCTCTTGGAGCCACGTGGGCCTCTCCTCCGGGGTCCTGATCTTGGTCTTGAAGCTCCTCTGGGCATCGGCGAAGTGCTTGGCCTCAGGAGGGAGGTTCAGCAATTTGGGCCTGCCCTCGTGTCTGCTGGGGCCACAGCCAGCCTTGGCAAGCGGGCAGACCTCCAGGGAGTTGCCGGGCCCTGGCTCCGTCCACTCCTCCACCGCCTCCTGGCACTCATCCATCTCCAGGTGGCATCTCCAGGTGGGCCAGGTAGCCCTGCCCGCTGCAGTCCGTGCCCTGCTGGTAGCTGTTGTCCTCAGGGCAGTAGCGGATGTAATAGGTGATGCCCTCCTCCTCTTTGGGCAGCCCCTCGTCATATTCCTCCTCCTCCGAGGTGTTGTTTACTCTAGTTTGAGCTGAAGTACCCATCGGGGCCGCCCTTCTGGGCAGGCAACGGGCTCTCAGGCCGCCAGCTCCAGTCCAGTGGGCACGTACTGCTCCAGGGCCAGTTGCTGTCGGGCTCCGGGCCTGGCCTCACCCTGTGGTCCAGCAGGCTGCTCTTTGTGCTCTGATGCTTCCAGTGGGCCGTGGTGAGGCTCATACGGCCATCGTCACCAGGAGGCAGCCACTGCAGGGAGGAAGGATGACAGGAGAGTCAGAACCTGGCCCGAGGAGCAAGCCCAGGAGATGTAACTCGTATCCATTCAGATGACAGGACACCCCACCTCAGCTGACTCCGGTGTCAGGATCATTGCAAACCCTGCCAAAGAGACAGGAGGGCACCAGGGCTGGAGGAGGAAAAGGGGACCCTGGTGACTCCCCAGGACACCTGCTGCTTCCCCCCAACTCCCTGCTCATTCGTGACTTCTCTTTTATTTTTTTGACATACAGTTAACTAACCATGCCGTGTTAGTTTCTGGTATACAGCAGAGTGATTCAGTTATATACATCCATGTGTGTGTATGTATATATAACTATATTCTTTTTCAGACCCTTTTCCATCTTATTACAAGGTATTGAATATATTTCTCCATCCTGTACCATAGGTCTTCGTTGATTGTCTAGTTTACATAAAGTAGTGTGTATCTGTTAATTCCAAACTCCCTATTTATTCCTCTCCCCACCATTTCCCCTTTGGTAACCATAGTTTATTTTCTATGTCTGTGAACCTGTTTCTGTTCTGTAAATAAGTTCATTTATGTCATTTTCAGATATGATGATATTATATGACATTTGTCTTTACCTCACTTAATATGATCATCTCTAGGTCCATCCATATTTGTGCAAATGGCATTCTTTCATTTTTTATGGCTGAGTAATATTCCATAGCATATGTGTACCACATCATCTTTATTCATTCATCTATGGATAGACACTGAGGTTGTTTCTACATTTTGGCTACTGTAAATAGTGCTGTATTGAACAATAGGGTGCATGTGTCTTTTTTGAATATAAGCCCAAGAGTGGGGTTGCTGGATCATATAATAGCTCTATTTTTATTTTATTTTTTGGAAATTTTTCTTTCAAATATTTAATGCTTGGAGATAATAGCTCTATTTTTTAGTATTTTAAGGAATCTCCATACTGTTCTCCATAGTGGCTGCACCAATTGACATTCCCAGCACCAGTGTAGGAGGGTTCCCTTTTCACCACACTCTCTCCAGCATTTATTATTTATAGACTGTCTAACAATGGGCTCTCTGGCCAGTGTGAAATGGTACCCTACTGTAGTTATGATTTTCGTTTCCCTCATGATCAGTGATGCTGAGCATCTTTTCATGTGCTTGCTGGCCATCTCACTAATGACTTCATGAAGATGGTTCCTAGGTGGAGGAGCCCAGGTGACCGAGGCAACGGTCAGAAGATCAGGTTATTTGCTCTCAAAAAGAAAGAGAAGGCTTCATTCCAAAAACATGATGAAGCCAGAGAGGAGGTGTCTTGCCCTTCCAAGTCTAATCTGCTGCCCCTGAAGCCCATCTCCAGTCTCCCTATCACTCCCCTCAGACTCCCAGCACACACAAACCTCTGCTTCCTCTTTGCTCCAAACAACACCACTGACGGGATTTGCCAAGAACCGTCCAGGCTGAGGGCCACACAGACACTGGATGTGAACCCCAGCCTCACAGGCTCGATGTGGCGGGGGCCCAGAATGGGGGGACACCAGAGGGAGGACAGCACTGTAGGCCACCAGAACGGGGGACCCAGGAGGGTGCAAAGGATGTGGCTGCCACTTCAGGTCAGGGGTCATGGTACTGCAGGGCACTGCAAAGATCCCGTGGGCCCAACCAGGGAGGTCCTGAACCCCGCCATCCAGAACCCCACGTTTCATCCCACAAACCATAGAGTCCCTGGGCAATTCTGAGCAGGCACGAGACTCACAGGATTTCTCTTCCAGCCCCTTGGGGAAACAGTGGGGGATGGGTGGCTGGGGGAAGGGAGGTCAGTGAAAACCCCCTTCCCGTCCTCTAGGGAATGTGAGCAGCTCACGTGTGGTCTTGTCTTTACAGCATCTCTAGAAGCTGGCAGATCCACAGTGCTTTCCCAGAGCAGCTCACACACCAGACGTGGTCCCACAGCAGGAAAACTGTCACTGAGATGGACCCTGCAGGGGTCTCCTCCTCAGTCACCCCATCCCCAAACCTGAAGCTGATGGGAATATTTCAGAGACCTGCTCCCAGGGAAAGGCAAGGTGTCCAGTGTTTCCTAGAACACAGGTGACCATGAGGATGCACCAAGAATACGGAGCATCACTTTACAGCAGACTTCCCATGTTCACTTTGCCGAACAGCAGAAACTAACACACCGTAAAGCAATTACAGTTCAATAAAGAGATGACAGAGGAGAAAAACGAAAACGGCTATAATTTTTAAAAAGCGTAACCTTTCTGGAAAGTAATTTGCAAATGGGGATTAAAAACCTTTCAAAAGATGTATGCCCTCTGGTCTGCAATTCCAAATCTAGGAATGTACACTAGATAAACAATCATGTATATGCACAAAGATGTAGCCTAAAAAGGATGTCCATCTCACCATTACATTGTTTAAAATAAGGAGAAGAAAAATTATTTAATGTCCAATAACACACAACTTGTACATTACAATAAAATAGCTTGATGAGTATTACGGTCATTAAAAATATTATAACCATTTCATGAAAAATACAATAAGTAAAATACACAGGTTATAAAATACTATACTCATTTATGAAAATACATATCTATATTAAATAAATGCATTTGTGTAAAAAACAAAATGAATCAAAGTTACAGATGGTGGCCAGACCTGCCCACTCCAAGGGGACATGTCCACTCCCTCTCGTGAGGAGTTTGCATTCCTGGCAACTGGGGCGGTGGCACAGCTCACAGGCCAGGGAACTTCCAAGTGAATACTTCCTGCCCCCCCTGTGGCATGCACGTTGTCCCCTGAAACAAAGAGATCTGGCTGAGAACAGCCCACCTCTGTCCACATTTAAAAAATAGAGGCTCCTTTCTGTCTCAACTAAGAAATCCAAGTGGCCAAGTCACTACAGCCAGTCTGCTGAAAAATCATCTCACGCCCTACTTCATACTGCCCAACAGTGATGGCATTTTATACACATGACATCAGGTCTTTTCACTCAAGATAAGTCTCCCTGTTTATTCAAGCCTTAAATGTCAACAGCACTGTGGGTTTCTACATAGCTGTAGACACAGGAAGCTTATTCTAAGACATGTTTTTGTAGCTATGGGGAACAGATTTTTCTCTTATATACCTCTTGCTGGTACATTAAAAAAAAAAAAACTCTGATCTCATATCAGTCTTTTTATTTATTTATTTTTGACTGTGCTGCGTCTTACTGCAAGGGCTTTTCTCTAGTTATGACGCATAGGGGCTATTCTCTAGTTGTAGTGCATGGGCTTCTCACTGCACTGCAGTGGCTTTGCTTGTTGGGCAGCACGGGCTCTAGGGTGCATGGGCTTCACTAGTTGAGGCATGTGGGCTCATTAGTTTTGACTTTTAGGCTCTAGAGCATAGGCTTAATAATTGAAGAACATGGGCTTAGTTGCTCCACTGCATGTGGGATATTCCTGGATCAGGGAACAAACCCATGTCTCCTGCAATAGCAGGCAGATTCTTTACCACTGGATCACCAGGGAAGCCCTAAAAGCCCATTTTAAAATTCTAATACTTATAGTTGACCATTTCTCTTTTCCAGCATTCCATCTGGCTACCCTGACCTTTCAGTTACATGATGGAGTTACTGGGGCATCCCTGACTTTTTCCCAATTGTAATGAAAATACCTTTACTTTTAAAAAATTTTCATTGTAGTTGCTTCCCAGTGTTGTTAGTATCTGCTGTATGGGAAAGTGAATCAGCTACACGTATACATATTCCACCCCCCCCTTTTTGGATTTCCTTCCCATTTAGGTCACCACAGAGCACGGGACTGTCATACAGGCTTCCCAGGTAGTGCTAGTGGTAAATAACTCATCTCCCAATGCAGGAGACATATACATGGGTGTTCGATTCTTGGGTCAGGAAGATCCCTGGAGGAAGGCATAGCAACCGACTCCAGTATTCTTGCCTGGATAATCCCATGGACAGAAGAGCCTGGCTGGCTGCAGTCTACAGAGTCACACATTACTGAAATGACTGAGCACTCACATAGAGTGAAGTGAGTCAGAAAGAAAAAAACAAATATCTATTAAGGAAAATGCCTTTATTTTTTAACCAGGGCTGGTCCATGGTAAGGTAGGCATGACCCTCACCTCAGGCACAAGATTTAAGATGGTGTCAAAAAAACTCAAGAATCAAAACAGATACAATTTTAACACAAGACTTTACAAAAAAACTAAAAATTAATGCAAAAACATCCATGGTGAACAAGATATTAAAATGTTAAAGACAAGATTGATTATTACTGATTTGTTTCTTTGGGCCTCAGGATCCAATAGGGCTTGGCTGGCCTCTGTGAATGAACCTATTTTTTTTTTTTTTTTAAGTTTTCCCCATTACAGACTTCCCTGGTGGTTCAGTGGTAAAGAATCCAACTGCACAATGCAGGAGACATAGGTTTGACTACTGATCTGGGAAGATCCCACCTGCTTCGGAACAACTAAGTCCAGGAACTGCAACTACTGAAGCTTGCATGTCTTTTTTTTTTTTCCCCCAGTTTCATTCACTTTATTATTCTCTTTATAAAATTATGTGGTGGCTACAGCTGGGGCCTGTGTCCTCTGCACAGAGACTCTGGTGTGGGTCTTCACAAGATGGTCAGTGAATTCCTGCTATGGAGACTTGGTGAACACAGTCTCTTTCCAGAGGTCAGTGGTGCGGTAACTGTAGGTCTTGGAAAGGGCAACAAAAGTGGCCTTGGCGAGGTTACCCAGGGTGGAGGTGCAGCCCCTGGCAGAAGTGTAGCAGTCGTCGATGCCGGCCATCAGCAGCAGCTTCTTGGGCACAGGGGCGGAGACGATGCCAGTGCCACTGAGGGCAGGGATGAGGCGCCCCAGCACGAAGCCGTAGCAGCCAGTCACCTTGCAAGGAACCGTGTGGGGCTTGCTGATCTTGTCCCCCCAGTAACCTCTTCACACGGGGACGATGGACAGCTTGGCCAGGATGATGGCCCCACGGATGGTAGTGGCTACTTCCTTGGAGCACTTGACACCCAGACCGACATGTCCGTTGTAATCCCCGATGGCAACAAATGCTTTGAACCTGGTCTGCTGGCCAGCACGCGTCTGCTTTTGTGCGGGCATCATCTTCAAAACCTCATCCTTGAGGGATGCTCCCAGGAAAAAGTCAATAATCTCAGACTCCTTGATGGGCAGAGAGAAAAAGTAGGTCTCCTCCAGGGACTTGATCTTTATGTCCTTGACCAGGCGGCCCAGCTTAGCAACCGGGAGCCACTCCTTGTCCTCGGCCTTGCCTCCGCGAGCTCCGCGGCCTCTGCCCCAGCTCCGACCCCGGCCGCGGACGCCACGACCGAAGCCTACGCGGAAGCTTCCCATTCCGGGGACCCCGGGGACCCCGGGGCCTCCGGGCCCTCCTGCAGCACCGGCGTCATCCGCCATTTGCTGTTTTCACGAAGAAGCTGAAGCTTGCATGTCTTAGAGCCAGTGCTCCGCAACAAGAGAATCACTTGCAATAAGAAGCCCTCACACTGTACTGGAGAGTAGCCCCTGCTCACTACAACTAGAGAAAAGTCCGTGCAGCAATGAAGACGCAATGTAACCATAAATAAATAACTAAAGAAATAAAATTTTATACAAAAAAGAACCCACTTTCTAATGCAGGGGACTAGGGTTCAATTCCTGGTTGGGGAACTATTAATAAGATCCCATATGCCAAGAGGCAACTAAGACCGTGCCCCACAACTAGAGAAAGCCCACAAGCTGCAACAAAGACCTGTCACGGCCAAAATTAAAAGGAAAGTTTCCCCCCACTAAATACAGTGCTGTTGTCAGCTTTTCAAGTGCTTGATGTTGCAAATCATTCTCTCATTGGTGGATACAAATGGAAGGACCCAGGCTGGCTGCCCCAGGCGGAGGTCCCATTGTTGAAGGTCTGCAGAATTAACCTATGGCACACTTGTGGTCTAAGAGAAAGTCTCCTATTACAGATGAAGACAGGAGGTCCTTGTTTCAATTCAGACTTCCATTTACTGTCAGGCCCTGAGCATTATAGTTAATGAACAGATGGATGGCCTTTCCGTCCTGGGAAACTGGAAATGATGGTCCTGACTGCTGGGCTTGAACAGGAGTGAACAGGAGAGCAACCCACACCGGCTTAAATCCCATGAACGCTTTTTTTCCTACTATATACAAGGAGTGGAGAAACTTTTTTTTTTAATCTTTCAGCCACACCACGATGGGATCTTAGTTCCTTGACCAAGGATTGAACTCAGGCCCCTTGCATTGGCAGCACTGTCTTAACCACTGGACTGCCAGGGATGTCCTGAGAAACATTTAAAGTGAAACATGAAGAAAGAGAATGCAGTAGAAACCCTCTATTAAGTATTATTTAATGGCTATATAATGTTTCCTATCCCAATAAACATCATCTGACTCTTCCCCTATTAAATATATGAACTGTGTCTTATTTTTGTGTAATAAATAGTGTCTTGGTGTTTCTGTAAGGATATGCTCCACACTTTTCACTGCCCTCCAGGACTTTAACCAGGACCCTTATAAAACTATTTTTTTTTTTTCAATGTGAGGTCCGATCCTCAGAAAAGGCCCAGGAGGTATGGAGCCAGGAGAGTGTTCACCACCTCTGTGGTGGGGGCTGTAGGCAAACATGTTGAGGGTCTCTGCTTATATATATAATTGAAATATACTTGATTTACAATGTCTTATTAGTTTCTGCTGCACAGTAAAGTGATTTAAGGTCTCTATATATTTTTTCCATATTCTTTTCCATCATAGTTTATCACAGGATATTGAATAGAGTTCCCTGGGCTATACTGTAGGACCTTGTTGTTTATCCATCCTAGATATTATAGTTTACATCTGCTAACCCCAAACTCCCAACCCTTCTCCCACCACCCTCCTTGGCCACCCCAACTCCGTTCTCTGGATCTGTGAGTCCATTTCTGTATTATAGGTACGTTCATTTGTATCACATTTAAGATTTCACATATAAGTGATATCATATGGTATATGTCTTTCTGTCTGACTTACTTAGTATGATAATCTCTAGGTCCATCCATATTGCTATATGCCCATGGGCCCTGCGTGGGCACATTCACGCAGCTCTGCCTTCCTTATTGTTATTGTTCAGTCGCTCAGTCGCTCACCCGTGTCCAACTCTTTGCAACCCCGTGGACTGTAGCATGCCAGACTTTCCTATCCTTCACTATCTCCCAGAGTTTGCTCAGACTCGTGTTCATCGAGTTGGTGATGCCATCTAACCATCTCAGCCTCTGCCTTCCTTGGGCTGCAATTGACACCTCCATGCCGGGGTCCTTGCCCTAGCAGGATCCAGGGGTACCCTCAGGATGAACGGCGTCGGCGAGTGAGAGAGAGAGAGAGAGAGAAAGAGAGAGAGACCAGACCGGGATGTGCAGCAGAGTCTGGCAGCGTCTTATTTTTCACCATAGCCTTTATACCCTAAGTTGGTACATTTTTAAGGGGGAGATAAGCACACAGACTTAGTTTAACATTACATCAGCTTGTCCTTCACGAAACCAGGTGTTCTCTGTATATTTTTTGTTAATGAGAGTCTTTTTCCATAGATTTTTTTTTGTACATTATCCTTTGGCCTTGAGCTTAGCAGAAAACAGAAAAGTGGCAATGTCATGATACAGCAGTTTGCAACATAACAGAAATACAATCCTGTTAACACAAAAGTCAGTCTTTTTGCAGAAGTTCTCAGCTAAATTTATCCAAAAAGTTTAGCACACAAAGACTCTGCGGCTCTGGTGAGGCAGACCCTGTTTAGCACTCCTGGTTAAAATTAACAATTATCTTATTGTTTTTACTCTAGGGCTAAACTCTTTTTCTAGATCTTTAACTATATTAACAATAGTTTCCACTGCACAACCTCAGCACATTAATAGCAATCAAATGTTGATCCAATAACCACTTTAAAATAATATTTTTTGTGTTTTCTAATAGGGCTTCCTCACCCCCTGAAGGGCTTTGTGCCTAGTAGGGCCTTTTTTTATGGTTAATCTCTATGTATAATATCTTTTGGCCTTCAGGCCTGTTGACAATTTATGGCTTGCACCTGGTGTAACTTTAAGCAACTCCAGTAGCTGACCCTGTCTTTTTTGTGGTTAATCTATTTTCTTTCTTTAGGCGTCATCTCTATGGGAACTAGATAGGATTACATTATTACGGAACAGAAATGCAAAGGATTGCAAAAATAGCAGATATAGCACAAAACAGGCTCTTAGTCTAAAAGTTAACTACCTGTAAGAAGTCACCAGCTAATCTCTTGCAATGGGAACACACATTTATCAAACAAGCCAGAATGCCAGCAAAAGGGTTTGAATTGAAGCATTCCTTTCATCCCTGGCCCCTTCATAGGGTACAAGCATCTAGGAGATTTATTAATTCGGGTTTTAAGTTGGCCTTTATTCAATGAAAGAGGAGCAGGCGAGCTCTCGTCAGGCAACACAAGAATCTGCAGCAGGGCAAACAAGAACAACAGCAGAAAAGGCGGGAGGATACAGGGTGGGGTAGAGGCCGAGGCCAACCTGGAGGGTCCCTTGTATCCTGAACAGCCATGTCAGGTTTTTTCCTTGTGACCTCGTCATGGATGGGATCCTGAATGGCCTTGGATGTCAGGTATTTTCTTCATGACCTCGTCATGGGTGGGATCTCCCATAATGGCTCCCGGCACCTCCTCCCACCCACTCCCTCCCTTCTGACTCTCCCCCTCCCCAGTTTCCTTGCAGGTTGCTCCCTCAAAAACATCCACACATATTTAATCCTGCCTTGGGTCTGCTTCTCAGAGGACTTGACCTAACACAGCTCCTTACAGGAAAGAAAACAGAATAAAAGTCACATACACAAAAAAACAAACTCCAACACCCTTTAGAAAGCACAGAACCAAAGACATAAGTATATTTATGGGTAAATTTACAATAAAAGTTCTAAGAAAATAAGAGAGGCAGCGACTACTGTCGCAGGAAGGGGAGAAGCTTACACCCCTAGGATCAGCTGACTGCTCACCCTCAAGACTTTCTGAACCTCTTTTTTTTTTGTCAAAATAATCCTCAAGCAAAAAAAAAAACAACAGCATAAGGCAAATAGTTTAGCCTACTATGCTACGTCACTTCAGTTGTATCCGACTCCTTTGTGACCCCATAGAACATAGCCCACCAGGCTCCTCTGTCCAGGGGATGGAGTGGGTTGCCATGCCCTTCTCTAAAGTATCTTCCCAACCCAAGGACTGAACTCAAGTCTCATTATGTCTCCTGCACTGGCAGACAGGTTCTTTACCACCAGCACCACCTAGGAGTCCTGATACATGACTATTAAACACCCTGGCAACCCCAGCCAGGTAAAGAGATAGACCTTGCCAGCCACCTGAGGCCTCCCCAATGCTGCTCAGACACCAAGACCCCACCGTGTGCGCCCTGACCACCTTGACTGTGCAGTCATCACCACCTCACCTCTCCTTAACCATTTCCCACTGATCACCCAGCCCTCAACACTGATAACATCACTTTCGATCCATCGGCTTCTACTTCTCTATTTACCCTTGCAATTAATTCACTGCAGACACCAAATCATTTGTTGGGAGGGCATTTCCGTTGATTGAGATTTTGATGACTGTCCCTACAGCTGGGAACACCATCCCCTGAACTCTGCACTCCAACAGACTGGTGGTGGGAAATGGAGGCTGAGTCGGGTTCAGATTAGAATCTGGAGGCAAACGACTTTCCTGGCAACGTGGTGCTCTTCCTCGCTCAAGAGGCAGGAGCTCGGGACACCACTCTCTGCTACATCCCCTGGCTTCAGCACTGCCACCCAGGGTGTCCATTCATGCATCCACATGCTGGACCCCTTCTGAACACAGAAACCCCCTCACCTGCCACCAGGCTGCCCAGTGCTGCAGCTCGTACAGGGAAGCAAGAAAAAACAATTCAGTCTTTTCTGTTATTTACCAAAGTTCAAAAAAAATCATTCTCCAAAGGTGACCAATTAGGTTGTTTTTTTTCCTCAGTATCATTCAGAAGTTACAGAAAACTCTTAATTCGAAAAGATACATACACCCCAGTGTTCACTGTAGCACTAGTTACAAAAGCCAGAACAAAGAAGCAATGTAAATGTCCATCAACAGAGAAATAGGTGAAAAAGATGTGGTACATATACACAATGGAGTATTACTCAGCCAGAAAAAGAATGAACTAACGCCACTTGCAGCCACATGGAGGGACCTAGAGATGATTGTACTAAGTGAAGTTAAGTCAGACAGACAGTCAGAGAAAGACAAATACCATATATCACTTACACAGGACTTCCCAGGTAGCGCTAGTGGTGAATAACCTGCCTGCCAATGTAGGAGACATAAGAGACAAAGGTTTGATCCCTGAGTCAGGAAGATTCTCTGGACGAGGAAA